TTGGCGATGTGGCCTTTGCGGACGCAGCTCCTACAGACGGCGTCCCTGAAGCGACATGGTTTCCTGTTGTGTGGGTCGCTGCAGCTGGCGCACTGCTGTCGGCCAGACTCCTTGGTTTGTAGGGGATGGGGTGATGGTCCAGAGTCGCGTCTCTGTCTGGAGGGCTGTGACCGATGTACCTCTTCCTCCTCCCAATCCCCAGGGTCCGCCCTTGTCCGGTGTGTAGAGGCGGAAGGGTGTGATCTCTCCCAAGCTGTGGCGGTGGCGAAAGCTGATTTCAGGGTACACTCCTCAGCCTCCAGAATCCATCGCCTGATTGCTTCTTGTCATGGAGGCCACAGACCAGCTTGTCGCGGAGGGCCATATCCAGATGTGCCCCGAACGGGCACTCCAAGGCAAGCCAACAGAGCCCAGCCAGGTACACGGCCACCGCTTCCCTTGGTTGTTGGCTCTGGGAGTAGAAGGCCATATGACGTGCAATCTCCGAGGGCCGGGGATCGAAGTGGTCCTTGAGCTTCGCAATGATGTCCTTGAACATGGACTCTGCGAGCTTGGTTGGAGCGAGCAAGTTGCGGGCCAGCTCCACGGTGGCGGGGCCACAGAAACTGATGAGGAGGCCCCAATTTTTGCCATCATCAGTGATTCCATAGAACTGCAAGATGGAGTTGAGTCCCTCGACCCTTGCATCCCAGTGATGCAGCTTGGTTGGGTCGAACAGAGGGACCAGTACTGATCCTGGAGCGACTGCCATCGTGCTGTGCAGTGGTGGCGAGGAAGCGGCTTGCTTGCCTTCAGTGCTCATAGGATGGAGCAGCGGTGGTCCCTGGTTTTCCTCTGGTGCCCCGGCAGCCCCGCCAGCTCAGCGAGATCCCATCCTTGTTGCCATTGTTGTGTACTGGGTTCGATGCGTAGTGAAGACAGATGCTGAGTGATTAGCAGCTCATACTTTACTGGCACACAACACAACAACCAACAAATGGTCGAATGACCAACTATATACAGTCCCTGGGTGCCACCCACAGGTCCCATTGGCGGGTTTGAACTTCCCGTCACAGTTCCTACAGGTGTTGACTAGGAGTCTCGGGATCCCAGTCCGCATTGTTCTTTTGGAGCCAAGCTCTGGTCACATACCGCTGGCGCCTAGTGGCGGTCTGCAGAAATAACACTGCAGAAAAATCTACACATGTCACGGGTGGCCACAGCAGCAGTTTGGAAGCCATTTTTTAGACAGGGAAACTGAGGATCTCACATGATGCATCTAGCTAGGATATATTTCAAAGAGTCTGTAGCTTACAGAATGTTTTATACCCAGCCTACTGTTAATATTTTTATCAATCACAGACTAGTCACCAATTTTAAGGAGGAATCATTTTCTTCACTGTAGGATTAGCTGTGTCATAATTATGTCTGAGGTCAGGACAATAACCACTGCAGAGGGAAAATGTGGAGTGAGGTTGTGCAGTATCTTAAAAGAAGAAAACATCTAATTAAATATACCATATGTATGGATTACTTTGTTTAGGTTATTTTTGCATTTATGGGTGTTGGCAAAATCATCACCAGTTTTTTATTTACCAATCAAAGCTGAGATATTTTTGATAAGGAACAAAATTATTTAAATTCATCACATCCAGTCAAACCTCACAGGTTAATCTACAGGTGATCTGACCAGTATCCTAGTAACATAACAAAAGAAGAAGTGGAGAGTGTCCTTTTTCTTCCATTAATCAAAATGACCTCCACCAATCAATTCTTATAAAGGCTGTTGTTTGTTATGAATTGTATTTCTCTGCTATCTAGACCTCTGTTACATAATGGAAAGTTGCTATCTGTTACCTGCTATTTGCTACCTGCTATTTGATTTATTCAAGGTATGCATAAAATTTCAGTATATGCTAAATCCTATACAGAGAGATTGGACATGCATGTATGTGTGTGTTTGGACTAAATAGGATTCTTTTGTTGTCCTTAAGTGTTTTTCTTTGTATAAAGACATGGTACCTTATTTACAGCTATGAATATGCAATTGTGATAGTAGTTTTATCTATTTTAAAACTGTATAAATTATTGAGGATTAATTTCTGTTTTCTTCAGTGCTATATTCAATGAGTAGACAGGCTGTAATAGTGTGTAAAATCATTCTGAAGCATTGTAATACATTTAGAATTGGGATTTGATGCTGTGGTGGAACGGGCCCACTCTGGCCTGCAGGCCGTGTTCCACCCTGCCCTCCAAGGTTTTCCCCAACACCTGGAGAGGCTTTTCTTTCTTTGAGAGACAGTTTGGTGTAGTGGTTAGGAGTGAAGACTCTAATCTGGAAGCACTGGGTTTGATTCCCCACTCCTCCACATGCAGCTGCTGGTGTGACCTCAGGTCAGTCTCAAGTTCTTTCAGAGCTGTTCTCTCAAGGGCAGTTCTCGAGCGAGCTCTCTCAGCCCCACCTACCTCACAGGCAATGCTCCCTCTAAGCTGTGGAGTCTTGTGAGCAAAAATTCTGCTTCACGAGCTACTGACATTAAAGTTATGAGCAAGCGATTTGACTACTGCATAAATTAGTTCACTCTGGAGCCATCCTTCCAGAGTTAAGACAAAAATCTGTGAGGTGGAGGCTACAAAACTGTGAGCTAGCTAACACTAACTCAGCTTAGAGGGAACACTGCTCACAGGGTGTCTGTTGTGGGGAGGGGAAGGGAAAGGAGATTGTAAGCCACTCTGAGACTCCTTTGGGTAGTGAAGGGTGGGCTATAAGTCCAATCTCTTCTTTTTCTCTTCTCAGCTAGCCACTGCCACCACCTGACCTTTGTAAGGAATTGCCTGCTGGAAGGGTCAGTACTCTCAGTTTCCCTTCCAAGTTCTGAGGCCTTGCCTCTGTATCTCCCACAGCCCAGTGCCTGGTCACCACAGGGACAGTTTACTGCCTTGTGCACCCCTGGAGGAATAGCCACTTGCCAACTGACTGCCTTCTCTCAGCACTCCTTTTAAAATAGCATGTCCAAGATGGTGGAGGTCTATGTGGTACAGAGAACCACTACCAGCATCAAAAATTATAAAATATTTATTAAAAAGAAAATGTTCACATGCATACTTTTAGCACAGCACCAGATTGAGCAAGGGATTAAAAAGAAATGGTAAAATGCAATTCCTCTGTCCCTCTGTCTATACATGCCCTATCAGATGTTAAAATATAGGACAGGCTCCTTAATTTAGGAAGTTAGAGATCTCTGCAGAGTTTCTATTACCTTGAAGTTTCCCTCAGCACTTCAGGCCAGCACATGGTTAATGTCTGCCTCCTCCAGACTTTAGTTAAGAGTTCTGTGTGCTCTGATGGACTCAGCACAAAAGAGCCCTTCCGCCATCTTCTCCTGAGTTTTATTTCCTCTCTTTTCCCCACCCACTGACCAGGTCAGGCTGGGTCAGAGAAGCTTTTCCTGAAGAGACTTCCTTGAGATTCTTCCTAAAGTCTCTCTAGTATTTAACACCTCCAAATCTCTGTTCCCTGCTTGGAGAAGGAGGGGACTGGACCCTCCTATTGTCTCTAGCTAGACCTATTATCATTTGTATGAAGGTGGGCTGAGGTAAGTCTGGAAAATATAGGGTTGCCAGCTCCCAGGTCCAGGTGGGGGTTCCCCTGCTTCTGGAGGTTTCAATCTGCCCCCGGCCAGCTGGCTAGCAGGGGAAGCCCTGCCCCAAAGCCACACACTCAAAACTGACCACCCTTTCCCTCCTCTCCTGCCCAATTTAAAGGGCTTCAGCTGATCAGCGGGGAAGTGGCCCACCAATCAGCTGGAGGGCCCTTTAAATCTAACAGAAGGGAAGGAGAGGGGCATTCGCAGGCTGCAGGCTTGGCTCACAAAATTTTTAAAGGGTCTTTTGTCAAGCAGGGCTGATTTTTTCCAGCCCACATGCCACGGCCCCCACCCCACTTGCAAAAAGACCCTTTAAAGAGTATTTTTGTGAGGTGAATGTGCGGCCCATGATTGCACCTCTCTCTCCCTCCTGCTAGATTTATAGGGCCCTCCTGCTGGTCGGTGGTCCCTCCCAATCAGCTGAAGCCCTTTAAATCAGGCAAGAGGGGAGGAAGAAGGGTGGTCGCTCTAGGGGGTGGGGCTTGGCATCCCCACTCACTCCTGAAACACCCCCCAAATCTCTCTGCTGGAGCAACGAGGGGACCTGGCAACCCTAGGAAAGCAATTGAACTTACTTCCTCCTTTCCTACCTGTTCTCTGCCCAGAAAGGGGAAAAAAAGTTTAAACCCAGAGTGAAGGTTTTGCTCATTTCAAACCTCCAAAGGAAAAAAATGCATTTCTTCACAGATGCTAACCAGACAGAATTACGTCTCACAAATTAAGAAAACTTGTGACTGCTTTCAAGGATTTTCCTTTCATTAAAAGCCGGTAATAAGAGTAAATAACATTCATTATTAGAATACAGGAATACAATAGGTAACGGAATGTTCATACTGAGAGAAATAAAATCTGTTAGATTATAGAACTCACGTGACAACCTCTTAGTGACAGGAAATCAAAAGTGAGCTTTTGACTTTAATGGAGATAATTTCAATACAAATACTGACATTGCAAATGATGAGAAAGAACTTATTAATAATCTATTACATATGGAACAGTTGTCCACTCTGTCATTTGTATCAACAACCTTTTCTTGGTGTTCACATTATTAATTTTAAGTGTAAAAAGAAGAAAAGATAAATAGAATAAACTAAAAGATAGAATACTGTAAATTCCATGCCATCAATCTGTATGCATTATGAAAAAGAGAACAGGATCATGCAAGATTGAAACTGTAGATGCAGAAGATCTGGATAGAAAAATAAAGTCCCACCATTTGCCAGAAGCCCCCATATTTGGTCCTGTTGCCAGAATATGCTTTACCTACTTCACTCTCAGGATTATGATTGAATTTATCACCTGCAGAAAAAATGGGGTAAATGCACAATAATGATTGGAGTGCCCAACCAGATTAAAGTCTTCAGCCCCATCCAATTAAGGTTCTGGAATAGATTTTGTTGGAATGTTCTGTGGACCATGATTTGCAGTTTGGACATGCATGTTGGGGTCATTCATTCCAGAGATCATGGATACCTGATTGTCTTTGCCAATGTTTTTAATAATGTTCATATTCTGTTTGGCAGTTTCTACACAGTTATTCTCAAATAACCAGCCATCTGAGTCACACTGTGGATCATCCATCAGCACAACATTCCTCATTGCAGTTTGAAGGTAACGGACCCCAATAAGCACAGACAGCTAGAAGAAAAAGAAACCAATTAGCATTGTAAGTAATTAGAATATTCATTTATTACTTCATGTCATACTGCAGAATTAAGAATACTGTAATGGCCAATGAGTGCTGGAATTGCTCAAGGCTACCTAAACTGCAACACATAATTAACTGAGGGCTGAACTACACAAGGCGGTTTTTTCAAAGCTGGGTTTGGGTTCTTTCAATCTGACTCTACCACCACCAGCCACATATCACACTGCTGAGCACTTGGTTCCTAAGTATGTGGGGCCCTGATCAGGATTAGGACCATGGTGTTGGATGGGGAAGAAGGGCTTCAGCCTTCCCCCAATGCATTTTCATGATCCAAAATAGCCCCAGATAGTGTTATTTGCTCCGCTGGTGAGCTATACATGTCTCCAACAGTGCAAGCCATTACCCAGCTGTTTTAGCCTAGATAATGGCCTCTCAAAATAAAACAGTCTAGTTTGGCCCTGAGACATTCTTTTCGTTTCCTTCCAGCTGCACCTCATTGTGGACCTCCCTTCCTCCTTTTCCTTTTCTCCCTTGCCATACTCTTTTCCAATTTCTTATCAAAATTTCATCACTGAGCACTCAGTTTGAGAACCTTCCCTTCAAGTCTCTACATACAGCAGAGTTCTCCCCTGGACATTTCTTAAATGTATGCACCTCAGTTGCATAGCATCCCATTTGAGATCTTTAAATGCTCACAGATGTCTTCACTACCGGTAAATTGCTGGCAGTGTGAAGGACTTCATTCTGAGGCAATTTAGCCTTGGATCCCATACAGATTGAAAAATGTAGAAAGAAACTACCCAGCAGCCAAGCTGCTTTTATTATGCCTTTTTTCTTTACTTACAATCCTCCCTGGCCTGAGGCAGCTTTAGAGCAAGCATACTGAGGGATAAAACGGCAGGTATTTCTGGATGCCCCAGACTCAGAAGGTCACCATTATGTTGGCATCATCAGGCATAAGAAGCTTTTGTTAGTCTTGAACATGTTATTTTCCC